AAGGTAAAGTTACCGAGCATTTTATTTAGGCTAACTGCTTGTGTGCAAAATCCGATTCCAATCTCTCTATGGAATTTTAAGAATAAAATATAAATAATATATATAAAGTAAAAAAAATGTTCCAAAGTTTTACAACAAACCCATTTTCCCATAATATCAACTTCAAAATAAAATAATCCACATTGTTCAGGAATAGGATAATTTACTCGAATTACAGCACAGTTTTCAATTCCACCCAGACCTTTATATTTGAAAGGATTGAAGTTATGTGATTCCAAACAGCAAAATTACAATAATGAAATGTATTAACACACCCGTATAATTCACTATAAGCCTGTCTTCATTTAGTCTTAAAAGATTACGTTCATCAATAATATTCCATGCGGTTGGTGAATACATATTATTGTATAATCTTATTAGCAAGATAAAGAGTTGATTACTTAAGGATGATTGATAGTTTGATTTGTATGCGTAAATGCTTTTATCTTCTTATGTAGAAGCATTAAATACGTTGCGAATTTAACTTTTAAGAAAAAACAATTTTTTAGAATATTCTCGATTCTCATTGCTATTTATATTATTAGATATAACGCATTATGTGTGTCAAATTTGTCATGCAGAATTTTTGTTACATTAAACGAAAGCTGAATTGTTCAAAAAAAGGTTTTGAAAATATCAAAGCAAAAAATTTCATCGTCAACCAACTTTATTTTTGGTGAGTTGCCATTTGAAAATCATATATTGAATATCCATTCGTAAATTGAATATTCGAATATCAAAAAGTTTCGACATTTCATATTGAGCTCGACGACAATAGTTAGTATTTTGTAATTCTATATATTCGAATATTTTCTGCCAGCGCATCGTGTCTATTGACTAACTGAGCAAAATTAGGGACAGGATCTGGAAACGATACTAAATAGTTTCCTGAGTTACAAACCGTTTAACAAATTTGGCTCAAAAAGTTAAAAATTTTTTTTAATTGATCAACATCACATGCTTAGTCCAGTTGGACATTGACAAAATTTAGTACACATTCAAGTTATTTCATGGTGGCAAAAAAAACTTGATCGTTTTTTATAAAATGAACAATAGAACAATAATTTATTCAAATTATTTGTATAAAATATAAAATTTTTAATTTTAACACCCCATGTATAGGTAAATTCGCCCGTGAAGACCACTCACTTTTCTCGATGCACTGTTAGCATTCCTTTCCGAAAGAATACTTTTTTGTAGAAATGATTAAATTACGTATCGCGTGACTGGAGAAATATATAAATTTATTTATAAACTTACCGCTGTAAGTATAGTTCATCAATCCGCCAACCTATTGCGTAAAAATATAAAAGAAAAAGTTTTAGGATGAATTTTATTTTCTGCGTATATTGTGATTTATATTATAGACTTAACCATTAGGCTGAAATAACCTTGTTCTATACTTTATTTATTAATTGATATTCATATTTAAAATATTGTAAAATAATGAAATTAAGTCGCAAAAAATTTTTAAAACGTTTTTTATCTCACAAAAATAAAAATAAAGAGAATTTCTCCCAAAAAAAAGATTCAGCCTTGTTTTCTTCACTCTTTAATTGTTTAAATTGCCAACATAAAATACTCCAACAATGACTTCGACAGCAGGAGGTAAAGTTTGAAAATGTTTTGTGGTTTCTTCAAAAAATTTCTTCTTCATTTCAAATTATTAAAATTATTTCAAATTGTCTACTGAAAATTGGGAAAAGTTAGTAGAATCGAATTTATGAACGTTAACAATCAATTGATGTCAACTACGGTAGTATCAAATACAATAGCTTGTTTTGTCGCTACAATGCTAACAGTAACTGCAACAACAACAGCAATACGAGCAACGCGAAAGATGCTGAAATGAACGGACTTCATAATGAAGTTTATAATTTATAGTCTAGGAATCATGTGATTCACTTATAATACTCCCTTAGAAAGCTACCTTTATATAATAAACTTTCTTCAAACTTTATTATTGTTATAATATCTTTTTATAAATTTTTTATTTATTTTAAAGATGAGCTAGAAAGATGTGAGAAACAATTTAATAAATTTTTAATTAAATGAATATTATACTCATTTGTGTGATTAAATATAAATGTCTGAATTCTTGGATTGTTGATAAAATCGAATTGGTCCCAATTGGTCCTAAAAATTTAAAAAGAAATTTTCTTAATTAATTTTTTGGTCATTGATTTCAACCCAAGTTCTGCATTCGTTACAGCACCATCGAAAAAAAAATAAGAGTCATCATCCTTCTCTTTTAAACGAAAAAATTTTAGAGATATAATATTATTATACTTTTTTAAAACAAAACTTACGAGAAAGTGTATACCTCCTCATTCGAATCTCATGAATTTTAGCTTTAAGATTATTGATTCTAATGAAAACAGACTCAGGCTCTAGTTTGTTGCAATTATTGCAGTTGTTGCTCTGCTAACTTTTCCCATTATTGAATATTTTTAAGTTGGCAATAAAAGTTCAACTTCGATAAATATTATATAATTATTAAAATAAGAGCAAATTTTATGGCCATGAAAATAATATAAAATAAAATTAAGTGTTTCAAAACATCAAATGACTGTCGCAAATTATTTCTTCTCCAAATTATGCAAGCTTCTTTTTCTTATGTTAAAATATTATATAGAAAATGTGGATATTCAATTAACTTTTCACTAATTACAAATAAGATAATGCATACCAAAGTCTATGACGTATCAAATGAAAGAAGGGATTAGACTTATCTCGTATTTAAATTAGGGATTACAAGAAAATCTGTTAAAAAAAAAAAAATTCCAACTTTAGGAACTTTAGAATAAAAAAATTTTTTTTAGGTAGCACACGATAAATACATGTAAAAAATATAAACCATATCGAATATGCTTTTAATTAAAATTACCTTGTGTTTGAAAAATAATATCATAAATTTAAAATTTGTGAAAATTGTAAGTTTAATAAATTTTTTTTCCAAAAAAAATCGCTGCGCCATAAATAAAATCGAAAATCGATTCTATTTTTTTTTGAATCGATTCCAATCTGTAGTTTAAATTACAAAAATTATTTTATCAATTATGTTTTAGTTATGTATGATGAAAAAAGGTTTACTCAAATCACATTGTTTGTGATTTCCAATACTAGTTTAGAATTTTATTAATAGCAAGCTGTAAATAAGTTTTACATAGTGCTTTTTTCATATAGAAATTTATAATGAAACGCTACGAATTTAATGTAAGTATTGTTTTATACAAGCTTATTATTAAAAAAAAAAAAAAGTTTCAGGAAAATGAATCAGGAATGGCTTAATTGGCTAAATGATATTATACTTATCATCTCAACTTACTTTTAAATAATTATATTTCTTTTTTCTACGATAATTAAGTTTTATACTTAAATTATAAAAACTAGATTTATGATCATAGCCGGCTAGGGGCCGGTCTTAATATTTGAAAGTAACAAATGTATTTTATTTAATTCTTATAAATATCATTATTAATTTTGTTGATATATGTAAAGATTATGATGTTTTATTAAATTGGAAGTGGTTGCGATGTTTTTTGTTTAGATGAGAATATTCTTTAATTACAAATTAATTTTTATCTAAATTTATTATTTTCCATTTTGAACATTGTTTTCGAACGGAACGGTCCGGAGCGAAGGCTTTTTTTTTTTGATTTATTGATTTATTGTTTTTATTTGTCTTTAATAAATAATTTCATTTTTTTTATTTTAGGTTCGATCGGTTCCTTCTCTTAGGCTAAGAACCGTATAGAACTTTCGAACGGAACCATCCGGTTCGTCACCGCGCCGAAGGTAAGATGACTCGAAATTAATATTTTTTTTAGTTTTGTTTTTTTTAATATTTTATCTTTTTCTATTATTTTATTTCATTTCTTTATTTTAGTTCCCAATCTTAGGCTAAGAACCGGACGGAACTTTCGAACGGCCGGTTCGTTACCGCGGCGAAGGTAAGCTGACTTTTTTTTTGATTTTTTTTTCCGATGTACTATTTTTTTTAATCTACCTAAACAAAAAAAATTGCGAATAAGCGCGATTTATTTTTTATTTTTATAATCGCGGGTTCTAATAATTAATTTTTTTTTTAATATTTTAAAATGCATCTCAAGCACAAACTCAATGGATCTATCAATTATATTCGAATAATCGAAAATCGAAAATCGAATCTTCGAGTCGAATTTGAGAAACGATAATCGCGATTCTAAATATCGAAATCGAATTCCAATCCCTAGGTCCCGTAACCTGATTTGGTTAAAATATATCGACATCGTTAACCGGTTTTAAAGACGCCAAAGCTAATACCCAAAAATTTAGCCATACTATTATACTATCATACTATCACATTTCTTTTTTAATGTGGTTTCGAACAAAAATTCTATTGTTCGTTGTCCACATTAGTTAAAAATTTTTCTTTATTCGGTTAATTTACAATATGAAAATTATTTTAATATTAAATATAAAAGTTTTTAATTCCACGTTCAAACTTACTTTTTTTAAAAGAAAATTAGTTGTAATTTAAAAAGATGTTTCTATATCGTATCCTATATTCAATTTTTATCATCAATTTATTTGTTTCCTATAACCCAACATTATGCGAAACATACAAATACACTAGAGAATATCTTCTCAACAGCAAGCTTTTTAACCTTGAACCACCACAAACTGCCTTTTCTCTTGACATTCAACCCATTAGTTATCCTGATAAATGCGAATTAATACATTTACATTCGGTTTCTAGACACGGTAATTACTACTTCGTATACTTTAAGTGTAGTATAAAATAATTTCTGTTTTTTTTTTAATAAAATTATTAGGATCAAGATATCCAACTCCAGAAGATATCATAGCTTTTGACGAATTGGAAAAAATATTTGCTAATGTTTCTTTTGCAAAAGAATGGGTAAAGAAACTAATTTAATTATGTGTAATTTAATAAAATGTTGTCATGATAAACAAGGACAATTGCTTTTCTTTTTAGTATAAAAATCCTTTCCCCATGAGGAAAAGTCAACAATTGGTCAAACGAGGAGAAATCGAACCTTATTTTGATGGTTTACAATCTCGTAAGCGATACGCAAAATTTTGGGATGGAGTGGAATATGATCCCGAAGTTATAAAATTTCAAAGCACTCAAACTCCAAGGTACAATTTATAAATGATTAGATCATGATTAAATAACAATGATGATTTATATGTAATATTCTTCTTATTTAAGAACCGGTGCGTCGATGATGTCTTTTTCTCAAGGATTATTTAATGGAAAGGGTCCTTTAGACACTTGCAAAAGCCAACCCATATATTATTGGAATTTACCACCGGTATATTTTAATGCGCATTTATAAAGATTTTTTTTTATTCAAATCCATTAACAATTACTACACATTGCATAATTCTTGTATAGGAACAAGATGATATATTATTTATGTATCTCGCCTGTCGACGTTGGAACGAGACCGTTGTTGCAAGCAATAAATTACTTGATCAAAGCTATGCTTACGGTAACACGACTCTAACCCAAATTGCCAAGCGACTTTCCGAAAGATATCATTTAAGTCCACATCTTGATCCACATCTAGTACCAGAAATTTTTCAAAATTGCCGATTTTGGCTCACGGTTTTTAATCGAACTGACGCATGGTGTTCACTATTAAGTCCTAAAGAACTTTTACTATTACGACATCATTACGATATAATCTTTTATTATCAATATTCTTACGGTCATCCTCTTAATGCACGACTGGGCTGTAGATATTTCACTCAGCTTGTGAATGGAGTTGAAGATTATTTAAATGGCAATTCTAGTATGATTGCTGATCTAAAAAATGCTCATAGTTTTACATTATATATTATACTTACTACATTGGTGTGTAAAAATCTTCATTTATTTTTTATCCTTTTTATAATTTATTTTTTTGTTTCATGTATTTATTTATTTATTTGATGTTTATTAATTACAGGGAGTATTTAAAAACAAATACCCAATCACGGCAGATTTGACTTTTGAACAAATTCAAGATCTCAAATATACACATATGAGGACTTTAAACTGGTCTTCTACACTTTATTTCGAAATTTATAAGTGTTCCGATGGTCGCGTATTGATACGAGCGTTATTCAATTTTAAACCATTTTTGATTCCGGGTTGCGAGAATGAATATTGCGAATGGAACAAATTTAAAGAGACTCTTGGTGATAAGATTGGATGCGATTTTGAAAAGATGTGCGCTTATCCTTGATGATGATTTTATTTTATTGTTTCTATATTTCTCTTTTTTCCCCGAAATATTTGACATTAATCAAATAATAATTGCAAAGTTTATGTTTCTAAATTTGAAAAAAAAAATAAGAATTTTCATATCGTTTATCAATTGTAACATTAAATAAAACAAATTATTTATTTTTATCCACAAATTTAATAATTAAAGCGCTATATAGAAAAGAAAATATCTGATATACTTTTATATTAATGATTAAATAAAAAATAAAATATTAATGCTTATTTGTCATAAATTGATGCAATTTACATTTTCGTCATTCATTTATAAATATTTTCGTCAAACTTTATAATGAAAAAATGATTGGCGCTCAGTTCTTTACGTTATATTTATTTATAAACAAAGGAATTCCACTAATCAGTATTGCCAGAACATCGGCGAGCTACACTTCTGAAATCCGTTTATTAAATGATTCACATTTTGGGACATTTGGCTAGAAGATACGCCGACGGAAGGCAAATTGGCCAAATTGATATACAAAGTCTAACTAAATATGCCGCATACAAAAAAAAGATTTGTAAATTTAAATTATCGTCGTAACCAACTAGGAAACGGGAACCGTTGATGCGTCCGAAGCGTCATAAA